CCACGACGATGATAGGAAACAAGTGTCCGTTTCCTCGTTGATGAATAAATCAGCGTCTGTTGCCTGAAACAGTTTTTTTTTGTGTCATGAATAATAAATCCGATCTAGAACTCTCAACCTCAACATGAAAACAGGCCGGTTCAAAAAAATTAAGGATCCTGAGCTGAAAAAAATAATTGGCCGTTATTTTCTATGTTTTTTTTGCAAAAAAATTTTTGAACCCTAATTTTAATAAATTTAGTTGGAAAAAAAAGATGGACCATGTGCATGAGCAAAAGTGATAGTAAAATGAATTATCACCTTAAAGGACGGTGGTCCTTGTCTCCTTGAAGAAGAAGACGGTGAACGTACATAAAACATGATTCTCTGAAGACTGCAATGGTCCAACGTGTGACAACAATGTAATAAGTGATACATAGTACAATATGTTTCTCAATATGCGTAAAATAGTATAGAGGTTATTACGGAAACCTTTCATACATGTCACTGTCAGTGATGTCACCCATTAACGAGGTAACTAATCGAAAAAAGTCAACTATATGAATCGAATGGTCAAAAAGTGTTAGTTTGATCTTTCTCTTACGTTTTCCTCAACCGCGTAACACTCTTGACTTTTGTTGTTTTTTCGTTTTGTCTCTTTTTTTCTCTGGAGTTTGGCTGGTTTCCTTCACGAGACTATATTGTTCTATGGAAAATATTCGTAAGTAAATCATGATTCTCTGCAATGGTCCAACTTGGGAACACAAAGTACCAAAAGTTATTACTAAACCGGAATTAATAATTGAGCTAGTTTAAATTAAGTAGAGGATAATGAGGATTTCCTGTTACATACATCGGAGTTGAGCACTTCCAAGTTCCAATAGAGAATTTTGATGGGTTTCTTAGTATTAAAATATTAAAAAAATAGAAAAATAGGAGAGAGAAGTAAGAAACTCCAGAAATAGTTTCTTATTTAAAAACTTTTACAATCTCATAAATACTCTTGAAGACACTTGTCTTTCTATGAGTGGTTTATCTTGTTTTCAAAACTAAAATTTAATTCTATAAAAGTAATAATATTTTATTTTTTAGAAACTCAAATTGGGCCTCTCACGATTGGGGTGCTCTTATTGCTTCTGGTTTTATTTCAAACCAAATTTTCAGATATATATCTGTGAAGAACGATGATATATTTCGTTTTGGATTATAAGTTGGCTAAGTGCTTGTGGTAAAAGTTGATGGTTTGATGCGTAATGCAACATCCAAAAGTTTGCGATTCTTTGGTTATTTAATTCTTTATGGCGCACATTCTGAGTTTTTTTTTCTCAATGGTTACATGAATGAATACATTTGTCTAAATATCAAATATGAAAGAAAACTGAAGTTGATCATATTCTATTGCACCCATCAGAGGAGTAATTATCCTTATAATAGCCAAGTAGGCAACGATATTTTATAAAAGGATACAGAAGAACTTAAATAAAACTTGAGACAAGTAAACGTAAAAAATAGGATTGATAATAGTTTTAGTGCATTTACGTGGAAATTTGAGACAAAAGGTACAAGTTGATTGACGAAGACTTGGACAAATCAATTGAATCGACAACTTGACGCAAGACTAGCTATAAGTCACATCCCATCTTAGGGTTTTCTAATTCCTCTTCTTCTATTTAAAGAGAATCAGTGAAGCACATATAACTCATTACATACAATACAATTAAACTCATCAAAAGATAGATATAATAATGACTCGAAGCCATTGTTATTGGGTTTCTGGTATTATTACCATCTATTTCTACCTCCTTATACACTCTCTAGCTTCACCTTCGCTCCACTTTTGCCGCCACGACCAGAGGGGCAATCTTTTGAAATTCAGAGACGAGTTTCCGATCTTTCATGAGTCTAAATCAAGTCCTTGGAATAAGAGCATTGACTGTTGTTTATGGAAGGGAGTCACGTGCGATGACAAATCTGGCCAGGTAATATCAATCGTCCTTAGTAGCACCCTTCTCAACAGCTCTTTGAAAACCAACAGTAGTCTTTTTAGACTCCAATATCTTCGCCACCTAGACCTTTCTGGTTGCAATCTCCACGGAGAGATTCCTTCTTCACTAGGAAACCTTTCTCGTCTCGTAAATCTTGAACTTTCTTCCAATAGATTGGTCGGTGAGATTCCGTATTCGATAGGCAACCTAAAGCAACTAAGAAACCTTAGCCTTGGGAATAACGATCTCATAGGAGAAATTCCTTCTTCCTTAGGAAACCTTTCTCTTCTCTTAGATCTTGACCTTTGGAATAATTCTTTGGTAGGTGAAGTTCCATCTTCCATTGGAAACCTAAACGAACTAAGAGTCATGTCACTTGACCGTAACAGCTTAAGTGGCAGTATTCCTATTTCATTTGCTAATTTAACGAAGCTTTCCAATTTTAGAATCTTCTCTAATAACTTCACATCACTTCCATCTGACATGAGTGGCTTCCACAACTTGGTGACTTTTGATATTAGTGCAAACTCATTTTTCGGTCCTTTCCCTAAATCTTTGTTCTCGATTCCTTCGTTAACATTGGTTTATATGGATAGAAACCAATTCACAGGACCTATAGAGTTTGCTAATATATCTTCATCATCTAAGCTTCAGAATCTAATTCTTACTCATAACCGATTAGATGGCTCAATCCCAGAATCCATATAGAAATTTCTCAACCTCGTAGTGTTAGATGTTGCCCACAACAATATCAGTGGACCAATCCCTAGGTCTATGTCAAAGTTAGTTAACCTCCATATGTTTGGTTTTTCCAACAACAAGTTGGAAGGTGAAGTACCAAGTTGGTTGTGGAGATTGTCGTCAGCGATGCTGTCTCACAATTCTTTTAGCAGTTTTGAAAAAATATCTTCAAAGGAAACACTGATCCAAGTGTTGGATCTGAGTTTCAATTCATTCCGAGGACCATTTCCCATTTGGATCTGCAAGCTGAAAGGGTTACACTTCTTAGATTTGTCCAACAATCTCTTCAACGGCTCGATTCCTTTATGTTTAAGGAATTTCAATCTCACGGGGCTAATTCTTGGGAACAACAACTTCAGTGGAACTCTTGATCCTGATTTATTTCCAGTGCTACCAACTTACAATCTTTGGACGTAAGTCGCAACCAGCTCGAAGGGAAGTTCCCAAGTCTTTGATCAACAGCAAACGTCTGCATTTTGTGAATGTGGAAAGCAACAAAATCAAGGATAAGTTCCATCTTGGTTGGGATCTCTACCATCTTTACAAGTTCTCATCCTTCGATCAAACGAGTTCTACGGTCCGTTGTATCATCCCAACATGTCCATTGGGTTTCAGGGTTTAAGAATCATTGATATATCAAACAATGGCTTCACTGGAACACTCCCACCTCAGTTTTTTTCCAGTTGGCGTGAAATGATTACATTAGTCGATGGAAGTCACGAGTACATTGAAGATATCCAGAATTTTTCTCTTATTTATCGCTCCATGGAAATGGTGAATAAAGGAGTAGAGATGAGTTTTGAGCGGATCCGACAAGACTTCAGAGCCATTGATTTTTCGGAAAACAGGATATATGGGAAAATACCTGAATCCATTGGTTGTTTGGAGGAACTGCGTCTTCTTAACTTGTCAGGTAACGCTTTCACAAGCGATATCCCACGGGTCTGGGCAAATCTGACAAAGCTCGAGACGTTAGACCTATCACGTAACAAGCTGTCAGGTCAAATCCCACAAGATCTTGGTAAACTCTCCTTTCTGTCATACATGAACTTCTCTCATAACCTTCTCCAAGGTCCAGTGCCAAGAGGCACGCAGTTTCAAAGGCAGAGATGTTCTTCATTCTTGGACAACCATGGACTCTACGGTCTCGAAGATATCTGTGGGGAAACTCATGTCCCGAATCCTACATCACAGCAACCCGAGGAGTTGTTAGAGGATGAAGAAAAAATGTTTAACTGGGTAGCAGCTGCAATAGCCTATGGACCTGGTGTATTTTGTGGTTTGGTGATCGGATACATCTTCACTTCCCACAATCATGAATGGTTCGCTGAAAAGTTTGGTCGAAAAAAACTTAGAGCCAACACAAGTGCTCGTTAAGCCCATCTCTTGCAATCTCTCTAAGCATTATTGTGTAACGTCTTGTGCATGTTCGTATTGAATTTTCCATTCCAGGTGTATTCTCCAAAAGACTCGTTTGTGTTTGTAATTTTCTATTTTTGTGGTTTTTGTAATAAACGTACTGTATTTGGTGGTATTTAATATATCTGGCTTTAAAATGTATACTACATTACTCTGTGTCTGCAATTCTCATAATATAGATTTCCTGGTTCTTAGAGGACTTTACGATCATGACTATATAAATAAATAGCGACAGTCATGATTCATGACATATATTAGGTGAAAATAAAAAGCAATCAAAGTGTCACGATCATTTACAGTGTATGACTTGTAACACAAACAACTTATACATATTTTTTGAAAATTTAAAATTTTTGTATCTTCAGTTTTTGAATCTACCATTGGACTGTCTGAAAATAAAAAGCAATCAAAGTGTCTAAATTTTTTATTTTCCATTATTAATATTATAAATCTTGTTTGGATTCCAATTTTTGGATCCAACCATTGGAGGTGCTCTGACAGGTCTATATGTAATTGCAAGACGGGGGTTGGAATGGTCAACGGTACCACCAACTTATGTAATAAACGTCTTTAGTGGTATTTGATATATAATATATCTTGACTTGAAAATGTACACTGAACGTTATGTAATAGTTAACCATTCGATTATGATGGATCAACATCTTTTTCTAAACCAAAGTAAATGTATATGTGTGTAGATGCATGAATCCTTAGAATGAACATTTAACTTCATAAAATCTTGTAAATTAAAAGTTTACAAATGAGCATATATATGAGCCCATTCATGGGCCCCCTCAATTCAGAAGCTATCAATTGGTAAATCAAACCATGCGATTACGATACGACAAAGATGATCTTGTAATACAACTTGTCAATGCGAAAAATCAATGTCTGTTGGCGGAGTTGTTCTCTTATAGCTCTAATTTGATCATTAAAAAGTGTATAGCTAATTTCTAAATCTTTAGATATCTCAAACCAGTTTTAGTGTTTTACATGCACACAGTCTATGGATATGTGAAGAACGATGCTATATTTAGATTGTGGTGAAAGTTGAATGCAAAGTTGGAAATTTAGTAGACCTTGGTTAAATTCGGTAGAAACTTAAATAATCTTTTAGAGAGGACTAAAATGAGTCTACAATGGTGTACGTGAATCTTTAAGTCAAGTGGCAAAAAAAAGTTTATTTTATTTTTATTCTAATCAGAAAGCACTTATTTTATTTCTATTATTCTAATGAACAAGCACATGTAATTAAATCAATCGAATCTAAACGAGTCGACGCAAGACTTGCTAAGTTAGGAATTTCTTCTTAAAGTGAGGACCAAATGAAGCACACACAATTCATTACTTACAAGACAAAATCAAAACAGAAAGATATGATGATCCGAAGCCATTGTCATTGGGTTTCTGACATTATTATCATCTTTTTCTTCCTCCTTGTACACTCTCTAGCTTCTTCTTCGCCCCACTTTTGCCGTCATGACCAGAGAGATGCTCTTTTGGAATTCAGAGGCGAGTTTCCGATAGATGCCTCTTTGAAAATTATGAATACATGGAGAGGTCCGTGGAATAAGAGCACTGATTGTTGTTTTTGGAACGGAGTCACATGCGATGATAAATCTGGTCAGGTAATATCACTCGACCTTCCTAACACCTTTCTCCACGGCTATTTGAAAACCAACAGTAGCCTTTTTAAACTCCAATATCTTCGTCACCTAAACCTTAGTAATTGCAATCTCAAAGGAGAGATTCCTTCTTCACTAGGAAACCTTTCTCATCTCACACTTGTTAACCTTTTCTTTAATCAATTGGTAGGAGAAATTCCGGCTTCAATCGGCAATCTAAACCAGCTAAGATACCTTAACCTTCAGTCTAACGATCTCACAGGAGAGATTCCTTCTTCACTAGGAAACCTTTCTCGTCTCACATTTGTTAGCCTAGCTGATAATATCTTGGTAGGTAAGATTCCAGATTCATTAGGAAATCTAAAGCATCTAAGAAACCTTAGTCTTGGGTCTAACGATCTCACAGGAGAGATTCCTTCTTCACTAGGAAACCTTTCTAATCTTATACATCTTGCACTTATGCATAATCAATTGGTAGGTGAAGTTCCTGCCTCCATTGGAAATCTAAACGAACTAAGAGCTATGTCATTTGAAAACAATAGCTTAAGTGGAAATATTCCTATTTCCTTTGCCAATTTAACCAAGCTTTCTGAATTTGTCCTCAGCTCTAATAACTTCACATCCACGTTTCCGTTTGACATGAGTCTATTCCACAACTTGGTGTACTTTGATGCTTCTCAAAACTCTTTTAGCGGACCTTTCCCTAAATCTTTGTTCTTGATAACTTCGTTACAAGATGTTTATCTGGCAGATAACCAATTTACGGGACCTATAGAGTTTGCAAATACATCTTCATCAAATAAGCTTCAGTCCCTAACCCTTGCTCGTAACAGACTTGATGGCCCAATCCCGGAATCCATATCTAAATTTCTCAACCTTGAAGATTTAGATCTTAGCCACAACAACTTCACTGGGGCAATCCCTACATCTATATCAAAGCTAGTCAACCTCCTTTATCTTGATCTTTCCAACAACAATTTGGAAGGTGAAGTACCAGGTTGCTTATGGAGAATGAGTACGGTGGCGCTTTCTCACAATATTTTCACAAGTTTTGAAAACTCTTCATATGAAGCACTAATAGAAGAGTTGGATCTGAATTCCAATTCATTTCAAGGACCACTTCCTCATATGATCTGCAAGCTTAGATCGTTACGCTTTTTAGATCTGTCCAACAATCTCTTCAGCGGCTCAATTCCTTCATGTATAAGGAATTTCAGTGGTTCTATTAAAGAGCTAAATATGGGGAGCAACAACTTCAGTGGAACTCTTCCAGATATATTTTCCAAAGCTACCGAGTTAGTATCAATGGACGTTAGTCGCAACCAGCTGGAGGGAAAGTTGCCAAAGTCTTTGATCAATTGCAAAGCTCTGCAACTTGTGAATATAAAAAGCAACAAAATCAAGGACAATTTCCCATCATGGTTGGAATCTCTACCGTCATTACATGTCCTCAACCTCGGATCAAACGAGTTCTATGGGCCGTTGTATCATCACCACATGTCTATTGGGTTTCAGAGTTTAAGAGTCATCGATATATCAGACAATGACTTCACTGGAACTCTCCCACCTCACTATTTCTCCAACTGGAAAGAAATGATCACATTAACGGAAGAAATGGACGAGTACATGACAGAGTTTTGGAGATATGCTGATAGCTATTATCATGAGATGGAAATGGTGAATAAAGGAGTTGATATGAGCTTCGAGCGGATCCGAAAAGACTTCAGAGCCATTGATTTTTCTGGAAACAAAATCTATGGCAGCATCCCTAGATCCCTTGGCTTTTTGAAGGAACTGCGCCTTCTCAATTTGTCAGGTAACGCTTTCTCAAGCGATATCCCACGTTTCTTGGCAAATTTGACAAAGCTCGAGACGTTAGACCTATCCCGTAATAAGCTGTCAGGTCAAATCCCTCAAGATCTTGGTAAACTCTCTTTTCTGTCATACATGAACTTCTCCCATAACCTTCTCCAAGGTCCTGTGCCACGAGGCACACAGTTTCAAAGGCAAAAATGTTCTTCATTCTTGGACAACCCTAAACTCTACGGTCTCGAAGAAATCTGTGGAGAAACTCATGCCTTGAATCCTACATCGCAACTACCCGAGGAATTGTCAGAGGCTGAGGAGAAAATGTTCAACTGGGTAGCAGCTGCAATAGCTTATGGACCTGGTGTGTTATGTGGATTGGTGATCGGACATATCTTCACTTCACACAATCATGAGTGGTTCACAGAAATGTTTGGTCGAAAGAAACTAGTCATTACAAGTGTTCATTAAACCCATCTCTTGTAGTCTCTTTAATAAGCATTTGTGAAGCAACTGTTGTGTAACGTCTTGTAATAGACTCGTTTGTGTTTGTTTGGATTTTCTATTTATGTAATAGACGTCTTTGGCTTCAAAATGTATACATTGTGTTCTGCAATTCTCAATTATGTGCAATAAAATATAGATTTAGTAGACTTTACGAATTACGATCATGAGTTTATAAACAAATAGTGAAAATCCATTCATGAGATATGTTCGTATCACAGGTCCATATTTAATGTAAGACGGGGTTGGCACGGCCAACTTACCAACAGAATCTAAAAATGACAAATGGAGAGATTTCGACATATAAAATATAACTCAAAACTTCATGTGTATGAAAGGATCCAGGAACTGCCAAAAAAAAAAAAAAAAAAACTTATACATGAAAATATAATGCATGACGAATGAAGCAATGGTGAGAGCAAGTAAGAAAATTTACACAATTTGTGGAAGACATAAAACAACCTGAAGCTGTAGTAAAGTTATATGGTGGAAGAAAGCTAATCCCAGAAGATGTTTACATAACATCTCCATTTTTCTGAACAGTTTTCTCTGCATCACAAAGCACAGAACGCAATCTTCATATGTGTATATGCTTCTCTTCATCAAACGACCAAACACCAACAGGTCCAACACCGAGAACTGTGGTCATAATAGATCCAATAGAGATGGTTGTGGACCATTGGGCTTTGAGGTAGATGTGCCAGTACCACCTCTACCTCTCCCCCTTCCTCTTCCCATTGCTATTGAAGGTGGTGGTGCAAGTTTCATTGCGGACTGCTCGGTTTTGCTTGAACCGAATATGGAACTGATGTCTGCTGGCTTCTGGTTATTGTATGAACCACTGCTGAAAGATGG